TTATTATTATTATTATTATTATTATTATTATTATAAGTAGCAGATTTTCTAAGCTCAAAATATATATTTCTTGTAGGTGCTTCAGCAGTGCAGTAGCTACACAAACATAAGGGCATTGCACACTGTTCTTGAGGCACTGGGAGATGCAGAGCATAGAGGTTCCCTGCTTCAAGCAGACCTTGTGATGGATTACCTGATGGCAGCCAAAATATACTTGAAGATGGCAGGGGAGAAAAAGAACACCATACTCAACTCTTCCTTCATAATTGGCAATATTTATGATCTTGTTTTCCGTATGGGTATCCCTTCTCTGTCTATATTTGTAGAGGGGTGGCAGAAGTATACTTCCTCCAATTTCATCATCAGATTGCTCCTTGCTGTGTACAGTGAAGTAGTGATCCTGCAATATGTCCCACAGGAAGCGTTTCAACTACTGCTAGATGCCTTGAAACATAAAGGCGAGGTCATCAAAGACTTTGTCAAGTTATTGAAAGGTTGGCTTTTCACTCCTGCACAGACCAAGAGATTGATGGACGCCATTATGAAGAATGCTGAGTACATCCATCCTGGGGCCATGTTTCAGCTTCTTAGAGAGCAGCAAAGCACAATGGGTGAGGACAGAACTGGCAAGCCAAAGAATTCCACATTCAAACTTGCTGTAGCTGTCCTTAGATCAGTTGGGGCACATCCAATGATCTATGAGATGGTGGATCCAAATCTGACTGACATGGACTGGCTGATATCTGTTTGTCTGGCAGGAAAAGTTGAAGACTTAGACAAGAGAAATTACTATGGTCAGTTCATTGCCGCAGTGGAGAAGAACTGTTCAGCTTTACCGCAAGTTCTTTTGAAACTTCTGTCACACCTTCTGAAGTTCCCAAGACTTATCAAACACTGCGATTCTCTCTCTGATGCTCTTATTCCAGGTTGTAAAGCATACCTTGAAAAGCACCTCAGGTCAAGTGGTAAATCACAATCTTCATATGAGGAAGTTGTAGAGAAGATGAAACAGATGCGTGATGCTTGTGGTGAATTTGTTACAAATGGCGGCCAGCAGTTTGACGGCGAAGTCATCCCTTTTGTTCTAAGTGTATTCCGGAACAAGAAAAAGTTATGCCAAATGATCTCCATGCAGTTTTATGGAGAATCATTGTAAGAATGCTTTCAAATGTAAAGCATACAAAAAACTGATGAACTTAAAGTTTCAAGTAGAATATTATAATTTTTTTATTGTTTCATTACTTTCTGTTTTCTTGGTAAGAACAACAGAGCACAATGAGAAGCTTATCTACTGCAATTCTTGTCATTGGAAGTGACTTTTCCAAATGCATATCTTTAAAGTAGATTACAAAAGTAAAACTGACTTAAGTAAGTTGATATACTTAGCAAGGTAGCTAACATAATTTAATTGAAAGTGCCATAAGATATTGATATTTTGTCAGCTTCAGTAAGAAACTGAAGCCTGTATTTTCTAGCTTCTTTTTTATTTTTTTGACAAAAAGATAAAATATATAGAGTGGTCCAAAAAGATGTTTCCATTTCTGATAAAGAGGGAAAACTTAGCACTTTTTCATAGACCTGTCTTACAGGCAGTTTTGTGTGGTGTAAGGATTTTCCCATCATTTTGTGAGTATTGCTCAATAGTTTATACTGTGCTCTATCCAAGCTCCTTGGTGATAAATCACTGTGGCTATTTGGCTGTAATGACAATGTTCAACATTTCATGGGGAATTCGCCTGATGTCCATTATAATATCATTCTTGGGAGCATCAATAGTTTGGGGATTGTTGGCTTAGACAGTCTTTTAGGTATCCCTACAGAAAACGATCCAAAGTTGATAGGCCTGGAGAATGTGCATGCCTAGGGTGGTCTGTATGATGGGAGACCTATCCCCTTTAGATTGTTCTCTGTGGGGATACTTAAAAGACCATGGCTATGGCCTTATTCTGATATACATCAGAGATCTACGTGAATTGATCCAATGCTGCAGGGACTCTTGCTGACTGCAATCAGCTTAACTGAATGATGTCTCCTCTTGGAGTAAAGTATAATACAGAAATGCCAGTGATTATACAAGTGCTTTGAAAACAAGAGGAGGTATGTCATTCAGTTAAGCTGATTGCAGTCACTGAGAGTCCTTGCAGAGTAAGATATTCCACATAGACCAATAATTTCATTGGGAATGGGGTCTTTGCCAACAATCCCCAGACTATTGATGCTCATAAAAATAATATTCGAACAGAGATCAGAGTTCACCAAGACGTTGAACAGTCATTATAAACTTCAATGTGCAAGTAGCCACAGTGATTATGTGCCAAGGAGCTTGGATCGAGCTGATTTAAAACTATTGAGCTGTGCTCACAAAATTATGTTATATGAAGAAAAAACTTACACCACAAAATTTACTTGTTTGTATGACGGGTCAATGACAAAAAATGTGAAGTTTTTTTTTTTCAGTATAAAATGCTACTTTATCAAGAATGGAAGTACTTTATGGACCACCCTTAACAGAACAAACCTGAAGTTTTTTTTTCAGAGATCTTATGAATAAATTGTTATAGAAGTTGTTTTAAGTTGATAATCATACTTAATGATACTAAATTCAAAATTAGAGAGTTCCTCAGAAATGGCAATCTCTAACAGATACACATTCCATTGTATTTTATGTAACAATAATTATGTGAAAGTTAAGTTGTGAAAGATAAATTTAAAAAAAAAAAGTAATTTATATTTTAGAAAAATTTGACTTGGTTTGCAACATTGATTGAAATCAGCATAATCTGTTTGTATTGAAAATTATTTAAACATGTTCTGGTTGAAGAAGTATTTTCAAATAAAANATTCCACATAGACCAATAATTTCATTGGGAATGGGGTCTTTGCCAACAATCCCCAGACTATTGATGCTCATAAAAATAATATTCGAACAGAGATCAGAGTTCACCAAGACGTTGAACAGTCATTATAAACTTCAATGTGCAAGTAGCCACAGTGATTATGTGCCAAGGAGCTTGGATCGAGCTGATTTAAAACTATTGAGCTGTGCTCACAAAATTATGTTATATGAAGAAAAAACTTACACCACTCAAAATTTACTTGTTTGTATGACGGGTCAATGACAAAAAATGTGAAGTTTTTTTTTTTTTTTTCAGTATAAAATGCTACTTTATCAAGAATGGAAGTACTTTATGGACCACCCTTAACAGAACAAACCTGAAGTTTTTTTTTCAGAGATCTTATGAATGAATTGTTATAGAAGTTGTTTTAAGTTGATAATCATACTTAATGATACTAAATTCAAAATTAGAGAGTTCCTCAGAAATGGCAATCTCTAACAGATACACATTCCATTGTATTTTATGTAACAGTAATTATGTGAAAGTTAAGTTGTGAAAGATAAATGTAAAAAAAAAAAAAAGTAATTTATATTTTAGAAAAATTTGACTTAGTTTGCAACATTGACTGAAATCAGCATAATCTGTTTGTATTGAAAATTATTTAAACATGTTCTGGTTGAAGAAGTATTTTCAAATAAAATGTTAAAAACTTCATATGTTATTTTGAACACACACTGAAGCACACTACTGCAATTCAGAGCAGTGTTCAGCAGGTTGGTGAACTAAAAGAAATGCAAGTCACAAATTGACCCAAACAGACAGCTAATATCCGAGTTATTAAATGTCTGTAACAATTAAATGCATCCATAACAATTAAATACAGCTCAAACGTCAATGTTCCTCCCTTCGGTCTAGTGGAAGACTTTGGTCCCAAACTGGCCTTCTGACCTCTCAGAAATCCCCAACCTTCTGTTAGGCAAAGGAGAAAATATTTTATTCAAGTATATGTATGTGTTAAGTTCTACCAGTCGTATGGAAAAAGCCAAAAAATGTCACATTACTTTTGTGAAAGCAGAGAATGAAGAAAACTGAGATTATTATGTCCATAAACTTTATTTACACTTGTTACTTGCTAATAAGTTTTCCAAATAACATTTTATCTGGCTAAGTAACTTTAATTTCAACATCTTTTCTCATTCTCCTAAAAGCATATATAGAAGCTTAATAATGAAAATATGTTTTCTAACATTTATTTTATTAATAATCAATATCTACTTTATTTATGAAAAAGACTCAAAAACTTATTTGGCTGAATAATGACAATGACGATGTTAATAGAGAAATAGCTGTGCTCATGAATTGACTTGCTAATGCATGGGAAAAAAAACATTCACACCATGATAAAAAAAATTGTACAAAACAAAATATTATTTCTATTAAAAGGAATATATCTTTTGTATATCATTCAGCCCATATTAGTTCACACATTTGCATATCACTTCTGAAGCTAGTTTTATGTAACTTAATCCACTGTTTTTTAAGTACATGTGCATTCAATATCACAAATTTTTACCTAAAAATACACTCCATTTTAAACTTCTGCAAGTCTTATAATACATACTTAATTCATACTGTATATGCATCTGTTTTAAATACATTCTTTGTGTTTGGTAAACTCGAATGGTACATAATGGCTTTATTCTCTAATATGCTTCATTTCACAAGATCATTTCAATGTCAATCGCTGGCAGTATCATGCCACTGAGCAGTGGGAAATTCTTCGAAAAGCACTGAAACTGAAGGCAGTTGAGGAAGCATGAATGATGCTTGAACTAAGGGAAAATGACAGGTCTGCCAAGCATTAGTTTTATAAATAACCTTTCTGCAAAATTGTTTTTTCAATGAAGATATTACATAAACAATGTCTAAATCTCCTGAGAACTTGATCTGTCCATGTTTTCTGCTAAAGGGTCAAAACACGGTAACGGTGCCATGGGTGTCAAATTTTTTTTTGTTTCATTGAAATTTAAAATTTTTACATTTTTGTAGAAAACAAATCAAATTTTCAGATAATGTAAGTTTCATTGATATACTCCCAGTACTTTTTCTGTGAGCCACTGGGAAACAAAAAGGAAAAAAAAAATTGTCTCTGACGGGACACATGGTCATATTGGCCTGAGTCAGATATTAGGTTGTTTTTTCAAGTTTTTATCAACCAAATATGTTAAACTAATCAGAAGTAATAGTTTAACATAGAAAACTGCCACATATCACTTATTTTGAGTAAAAAATTATTTAGCACTAGGAGTGGTGTGTCCCGTCAGAGACATTTGACTTCGAAAAGTTTTCATATTTTCCACATCTGGTAGGTTGTATAAATGAAACTTAAAATCCTCTTTT